TTTTCTGACACAGATAATGGGATGCTTTCTTCAAGTATTTATAAACTCTTCACAAGACTCAATTTAAAAACACCCAGTAAAGACTACATTTTTTTCTAGAAGAAAGGAAAAGGAAAATAACAGTAATTTCCACAATGTCACCTCTTCAAAGATTTTCTCCATTCCAAAACATGTATAAAGTTTTAGTAAACCCTTAATTATTAAAAATATATGACTAGGATATTTGACAATTTTTGCCTCAACACTACACTTATTAAAATGTAAACATAGATGACCTATTTCCCCATGTATTAATTATAAATAAAAATTGAGAGGTGTTATAGAATAATGGTTTTTTGGCCAGACAACTAGGTTTAAATCATGGCTCTGTAGCTGTCTACTAGATAAGCTATCTTTTCATGCCTCAGCCTCCTCACCTGTATAATGGCATAACAATTACCTTGTCCCTCTTACATCCTTTCTTTTGAGGATTCTCTGAGTTAATAGAGATAACATGCTAGAAATTCCACCCACTTTGTTTTCCTTTACAAAATTGTTTCGAACATCTGCTTTAAATTAAAACAGTGTTCCCAGACAAATGCTATGCATCTCCTCATGTGTTGTGAATTTATTTAAGGAACGTAATTCCATGTAGACACATCAAGGCCAGTTCTTTATAAAGGTAAATATATTATAAGGTATTCTGGAAGATATTCTTTTGAAGTTAAACTTCAAACTATTCAATGATCTTTAAAAATAGCTGGTTAATAATTCAAGAATATCTCAAACTTTGAAGAGCAAGATTCAAAATCATAAGAGTATGATTAGTATGGTAATGCATTTGAAATAGTTTCTAGTGAGTGAATAAAAACAACAAAAGGTTCTAAGGGGTATTATTTTGGACTTCTGAGGCAATATCATTTTGACATCACGTTGATATAATTTCAAAATGTGGACAAACTTTATTAACCACCTCTCTAGTATTAGGGAATAAATCGTATGGTTCATTCAAAGCTTGGTTCCATAATGGGCTTTTCTTTCTTTCTTTCTTTCTTTTTTTTTTTTTCCTGAGACAGAGTCTTATTCTATTGCCCAGGCTGGATTTTAATGGCGTGATCTCGGCTCATGGCAAACTTCGCCTCACGGGTTCAAGTTATTCTCCTGTCTCAGTCTCCCAAGTAACTAGGATTACAGGCGCACACTATCACAATGGGCTGATTTTTGTACTTTTAGTAGACACAGGGTTTCACCATGTTGGCCAGGCTGGTCTCGAACTCCTGACCTCGTGATCTGCCTGCCTCGGCCTCCCAAAGTGCTGGGATTATAGGCGTGAGCCACCACTCCAGCTCATCAGGGGCTCTTACTCCCCTTAGGACCTAGTGTCTTCAGAGACAGAATTGGACTATGGAGGGTTTGTCTCCCTGGGGTTTAATAACTCCTCAGATCTAGGAATGGAAAAGCAGTCAATGCTTCATAATGAGTAAATTCTCTAGTGGTTCCATTTTCCATATCTTTGTGCAATGGAGGAATATTCTGTATTCAGGTCTGTTATTATAGGAAAGCAGAAATTTTATGTACTCAAGGGAGATAATTTCCTATAGCTTTGGTATTAAGGACTAGGGTTTCAGTGGGTGTCTTGGGAGTTCAGACCTCCTCCTGATATACCACTGAGAATGTCCTCTGAATATACATGTGATGTTCTCATGTCAAGTTTATCACCAATGCCTAACTTCCTTCTGCTGCTTCACTTTGTTGCTATGGTGCCCATTGTTTACTTTTTCTGGCTTTCCGGTAATCAGGTTCCTGATTGTGTTAAACTTCACAAGGAAAGTGAGAAAAACAGACACATAAAATACAAGACACCATAAAATTGGCATTAGAAACAAGTGCTAAAATGATGCATTGAAATGCAGATGTGACCAAATGAGCCCTCCACATACAACACCGCAAAGGCCTCTTATTGTGCAGACTAAAGTACAAAACCCCTATCATACCACCCCTACCTGCCTTCAGCCTTACTTCTCGCCTTCTTTTTAATAGTAGAAGTTCAGTAATTCTATAGGTGAATTAATGAATCTAATTATATTCCTCTCTAGCCTTCTCAACTTGGTCCCATCAACTAGACTGTGAACTTCCTGAGCACAAGGATTATGATTTAATCAACTTTGCATCCCCAGAACATTGCCCAGTGCTGGGGACATTTAAGTGTGCAATGCAGTTTGTGGCTGGAGAGCAAGGAGGGAGAGGGGAGGGAAGGGAAGGAAGAGAGAGAAGAGGGATGCCAATGACTGACAGCATTTGTTTTATTGCAGGATTACGCTCCCTTGGGATGACAATCACCCAGTGTTATGAAGAAGTTGGCCTACTGCTCCTATTTCTATCCGTGGGAATCTCTATATTTTCAACTGTAGAATACTTTGCTGAACAAAGCATTCCTGACACAACCTTCACAAGTGTCCCTTGTGCATGGTGGTGGGCCACCACCTCTATGACTACCGTGGGATATGGGGACATTAGACCAGACACCACCACAGGCAAAATCGTGGCCTTCATGTGTATATTATCAGGAATTCTTGTCTTGGCCTTGCCTATTGCTATTATTAATGATCGCTTCTCTGCTTGCTACTTCACCTTGAAACTCAAGGAAGCAGCTGTTAGACAGCGTGAAGCCCTAAAGAAGCTTACCAAGAATATAGCCACTGACTCATATATCAGTGTTAACTTGAGAGATGTCTATGCCCGGAGTATCATGGAGATGCTTCGACTGAAAGGCAGAGAAAGAGCAAGTACCAGGAGCAGCGGGGGAGATGATTTCTGGTTTTGAATTAATTTTCAATTTATTTACAAAAGCTATGTACAATGTACTAAAATGATAAAGCAGTGATGTGGATTTCTGTATTCTGATGATGAGTCTCTTCGGAGTACTGCTCATCTTAATTAATTTTTGCTGATACATTGCTTCGTCTGCTAGAATATTTCACATCACCTATAACAACTGCACAGTGTTCTGACACATCTGAGTATCCAAAATAGCCAATTAACACAATCAAATACAACTGGGCCAATATAAACATGTTTGAATTGTCAAATAGAAAATAATGTTATTGCAATACATACAAAAAGTTAAAGATTTTATGTATCACTAATAGTAGAAGTTTTCTGCACCACTAATTTTTTAAAAATGGAAGTTAAACTGCATAGCCCAGAGAAACATAAGTAAATATTTAAGAACATATTGAACAACTTTGCTGTTTAAAGATATTATCCAAGTACATAAATTATTCCTTTCTCTATCAATTAAGGCTATTAAATATAATAATCAGCTTTACAAGAGGAAACCCTTATTTGATGGGCAGAGATTGTATCCCTACCTTCTTTTTCATGTAAACCACTGGTCACAAATGAACTGATCTCTGTATCCCATTATTACTATAAGAGATGGGAATCCCAAAACTGCTTAGATTGCAGTACATGAGTCCGCACAAAAACTTCAACAATTGCACATCTTCATTCTCCCAACTGAGTGTAATATGTGGAGCATAAAACAGCATATTTCTTAGTACTTCATGAATATCAGATGGTCTTCAAATGTCTCTTTATGGATGTATTGTTCACGTTATGGCTTTAAAATAATGAATATATGAAAGTGAGGTAGTGAACATCCTAAATTTCTACACTGAAATTATTAAATAATCTTATTTCATAAAATGGGAAATATATGTTGAATGACATCACTGGATGAACTTGAAGATCTTTTATTTGTTAACAAAAAATATTATGGACAGCTTTCTGTCTGTTGGGGTAAATAGCAAATGTTCAAACTTTGCAGGCATTTTGACATTCATGATAATAATACAATTCCTAGACATTGTGTTATATAATTAAAGCCAAAACCTCTAAAGCTAAGAACTAGCTCATGATTCCCATTATTTTAGTAAATGAGATTCTAAAACCTAAGAATAACAAGGAATGCATCACTTTCATACTTACATTTCCAATATAATAGAGCCCCCAAGGGGAAGAAAATTGGTTCTCGAGGAAAAAGAAAAAATCTTATCACTTCATATACAAAACACAGATAAGCATATTGAGTATATCTGCGGTATTAACATTTCATGGGGGTGAGATATGAGGGAAAAAGCCAGGGGTTCGTGGTGATAAGAAATAAACATTGAGGACTGCTTTAATATATAGCTATAACATATTTCACAAACTTTATTCAAGACATCCTATTATGCTATGCACTACCAAGAAAGAAAGATGCCAGTCAATTGTAAGATGCCATTAACTGTAAAATGCATCCGGATCTCAGATATGTAAAAATTTAAAATAAGCACCTTAAAATCAATGAAATATCGCATGTTCTACCTCCTGTTTTCTGGTATGCATGGTTAAGCTCTGAAAACATTTTCACTGATGGCATGAGTTTTAGATTGTGTGCTAAAGTACTTTAATTCATTTAACTTGTTTCCACTTCTCCTAAATATTAGAAAAGGTTCAGGAGATATGAATATTAATAAGATAAATATTTTCCTTCTTACACACATACATGGGTGCTAGAGTGTGGCACAGGGCCACTAGTCGTAGTATAAATCCCTTCCACAATCTGAAGGGGAAGTAGAAGTCAGACACAGAAGGTAACTTTACTCCAGCTTTTCTAGAACTTTCCCTAATAAGAATAGTTACTCTGATCCAGGACTGTGCTCTGTATTCATCATGTATTATGCCATTTTATCCTCAAAATATCCCTATTATATAATTACTATTCTTATACTCTTCAAAATACATATTTTATATATTTGTTAACTCAACAAATATTTATTAAGGATCTTTTGGTGTGCAAGGGACTAGGGAGTCTTTCTTAAACAAGACTAGGTCCTGTTTTCTTGTACTTAACATTCTATTCAAAGGTATGTGAGGGAAAGACAGAGAAACTGAAACATTAAAAGGTATAAACTTGCCTAAATTCACATAGGCTATAGACGGCAGAGCCAGGGCTGAACACCAATCTGCCTGACCCTGAAAACGACAATCCTAAAAGTCAAGTTGCAGATTTCATTCTTCCCACACAAGCTCTGCATAGAAATTTATTTTTTAGGCAGGCAAGCCAACTTCTTGTGCATGGAGAAGTTCAATATGCCTTAAGTAAAATATCAGCTTATTCTCAGAGGTGGAATGGTGCTTTTAAGTAAAGGCTGTGGTGACACCTTATAGTCATTATTAGATTAAAAAAATATTATCTTTAGAGTAAATAGTAGTTGGAAAATAAAAACAAAATTGAAAACTATGTGTATACATATGTATATATGTTTTTATCATGGAGGATCCTAAACATCTCTACAAATGTGCTGTTAGCTATATAAATGTTGTCAAGATGTAAGTATTCAGAAAGAAGTTTTAAAATGTCATTGCTTATTCAATTTTGCTGTTAAATAAAATATCAGTTTATTTATCCAATGAATGTATATATAAGCAAACCAAATTTCATTTAAGTAAAAAAATCAAAGCAGGAACTCTGCCAATTTTATATCCCATTGTTTTAACACATTAAACACTTTTTAATCATCTAAGAATTATCGTTATGAAACAATAATTTTTAAAAATATAAAATAATTGAATTATTGTCTTTCTCTAAGCTATTTAGAGAACACTACTTTCTTTGTTTTGTTTTGGTTTTTTGAGACGGAGCCTCGCTCTGTGGCCCAGGCTGGAGTGCAGTGGTGCAATCTCGGCTCACTGCAAGCTCCGCCTCCTGGGTTCACGCCCTTCTCCTGCCTCAGCCTGCCAAGTAGCTGGGACTACAGGCGCCCACCACCATGCCCGGCTAATTTTTTGTGTTTTTAGTAGAGACGGGGTTTCACCGTGTTAGCCACTTTCTTTGTTAATTTAACTGTTATTTTAAGTTCAGGGATATATGTGCACGTTTGTTATACAGGTAAATTTGTGTCATCAGAGTTTTTTTGTATAGATTATTTCATAACCCAGGTATTAAACCTAGTACCCGTTAGTTACTTTTCCTGATTCTCTCTCTCCTCCTAACCAGCACCCTCTGCTAGGCCCCAGTGTGTGTTGTTTCCCACTATGTGTTCATGTGTTCTCATTATTTAGTTCCCACTTATAAGTGAGAACATGTGGCATTTGATTTTCCCTTCCTGCATTACGATAATAAGGATAATAGCTTCCAGCTCCATCCATGTCCCTGCAAATGACATGATCTCACTCTTTCATATGATATGGCTGGATAGTACTTCATGGTGTATACATACATTTTCTTTATCCAGTCTACAATTGATGGGCATTTAGGTTTATTCCATGTCTTTGCTACTGTGAATAGTGCTGCAATGAACATACATGTGCATGTATCTTTATAATTAAACAATTTATATTCCTTGGTTATATACCTATTAATGGGACTGCTGGATCCAATGGTATTTCTGTTTTTAGGTTTTTGAGGAATTGCCACACTCTCACATGGTTGAACTAATTTACACTCCCAGCAACAGTGTATAAATGTTCCAATGTCTCCACAAGTTCCCCAGCATCTGCTTTTTTTTTCTTTTGACTTTTTAATAATTGCCATTCTGACTAGTGTGAAATGGTATCTCATTGTGGTTTTGATTTGCGTTTCTCTAATGGTCAGTGATATTGAGGCTTTTTTCATATCATTGTTGGCTGGATGTATGTTTTCTTTTGAAAAGTGTCTGTTCATATCCTTTGCCCACTTTTTAATGGGTTTATTTGTTTTTTTCTTATAAATTTAAGTATCTTATAGATGCTGGAATATTAGACCCTGGTAGATGTATAGTTTGCAAATATTTTCCCCCAATCTGTAGGTTGTCTGTTCACTCTGCTGATAGGTTCCTTTGCTCTGACAAAGCTCTAGAGTTTAATTAGATCCCATTTGTCAATTTTTCCTTTCGTTGCAACCGTCTTTTGTGTCTTCATCACGAAATCTCTGCCTGTTAGAAAACACTACTTTCAAACATTTAAATGCATATGGGTAATGCTTGAGTACCTAAAAAAGCAATTTTAAGAAATTACTGATGTATCTCTATTAGGAGTGACATATTCATATTTTATTTTATGTGTATATTATTTATATAATGTACAAGAAATTGTTGCATTTATCATTTTAATGCAAAGTAGTATCAACTATAATGGATTAGATGCACAAATAACTGAGGTAGGAACCTCAGTTCTGTGTTTTAATGTGGAATTCTTATGCTTATTAAAATATTTTGATTAGCTGTTGCAGAAAATAGATATGCTGACCCAATTTATCTAAGCAAAACATTGTCACTGGATAAGCTTACTACCTTGAGAAATATTTTTATTGATACATTGTGTTAACAAGAAAAGTCTCTTCTTTTGAAATATTAGCCATTAATAACTGTCTTATGAATCCTTCAGTTCAGATCCAACAAGATATTGGATAACAGGCAAATGATGTGTTCTGATGATTTCCTTCATGACTTTTCTTTACAAAGCATCACCACCCCAGAACTCTCTCCAAGCCATACTAAGGAAGATAAATGTCACACAGGGAGAGCTTTACTCACCAACAGGCAATTGCTCACATGGTACATTTTTAAGGATGATAGGAAAACCTGGATACTCACCATCCTTATGTTCTCACTGTGCTTATATTATATTATATTATATTATATTATATTATATTATATTATATTATAATCACTCCCTTGCTTGCCCTCTCAACTCTAGTGCCCCTCTCTTCCTTCCTGGTATTAAATTGGCAATACCTTGACCCTAATTAAATCCAATCCAGTGCCTTCTTGTGCCTGTCCTTGTAGAGCAGATCATGCCCTACAGAAAAAAACACAATGCCTGCAGACTGCTCTCACTTTACATTCATGCTTACAACCCCAAATGGGTTCTTAAAGCTTCCAGGCAATCTCATATGGCAATTCCTGAGTCCATTCACTTTCCTGAGACAAGTAAAAACCTCTAACACCTCCCTTGGATTCCGCTTTTACTCAGAAAATAGAATCAGAAGAGGATTTTTTAAAAAAGAGTCATCACCCACATTTATCCACCTACCTCCATCTGTGCCTATTAACTCTGCCTTTCCTCACTTTACGAGGGTTGGATCGTCCATCCACACTTTATCTCTGACTCCAGGACGTTGCTACAGAGAGCTTTTCCCCTCTTCTTACTATTTTATCAAATTTCCCCCTTCCTACTTCCTGTCAGCACATAAACATGATTTTTTTCCCATCTTAAAATTTAAAAAAAAAAGCCATCAAAATTCCTTGCATCTATTTCATCCTCTAGAAAACATCGAATTCTCTTCTCTTTCTTATGGCAAAATTATTTGACAGCAGTCTCCATTCTCACTCTCTCCCTTTGTATATTCACTGTGTATCTTCCCATTCTTTCCTGAAAATGCACATAAGTCTACCACCCCTACAACTCCTGTAAAACTTTTTCTTAAGGTCAGCAGTGACCCCATCATTGCCAAATCCAATCATTTCTTAGAACTCATATTGCCAGATTCATCAACAGCATTTTAAAAGATTAATTACAGATTCTTCCTTAAAACACTTCCTTCACTTGACTTCCAGTCCTTCATGCCTTCCTAATTTAATCCCCACTTCACTGTTCAGTCATCTTTTCTAATTGAAGTCATAAATCAGAGCTTAATCATCAGTCCTCTTTTATGCTTCATTTATTCTGCTCCCTTGATAAAAATCACCTGATTCCATGGCTTACATATCATTGATTCTTGGTCAATTCCCAAATTTCTACATCCAGATTAGAACTTTCCTCTCACTGTATTTCCGGATTTGTGAACTAACTGCCTGTTCAAAAGATATCTAATAAACATCTCGTAATTTGCACATCCAATAACAAATTATTTATCTTTTCCCCAAACTCTAAAGTTCAAG